ACCCTGATCCCCTATCACACAGAAGGTGGTACGTAGGCACTAAAAGTTCGCAATTGCGGCAGATGCAAAAATCATACAAAATACTTCTTTTCTCATCTCTACAATCTATTTTTATACAACATCAATAGCTAAAATACACAGATTTTCAAAGAGGTTCCTGCGGAGTACCGTAGATGTTTAGGGTGCTAATACATTTCCTTTGCATAACCAAACATCAAACTTAGATTATCTCCCCCTCTTTTGGGTTATTCGCTCTTTTATCATTCCTTTGGAGACAATAAAGTGTGGTGGCGATTTTTATTTGATCTATGCAAGTTAAGTCAATCTAATAGCTTAGTCTCAACATTTTTATCGCTACAGAAAAAAATGGCGACTTCACTGGGGAAATATTGACATATTGCTGGTCCATCCCTAAGTGGGTTGAGCCTATCTTTGTCTATTTGCGTATGTGCTTTGTTTGTTAAATATTATATGTTGTATATATGTCTGGATTTTCCTGGTTTTCAGGGTGCTTGGTGATTTCTCATAAGTCCTATACCCGGACTTGGGAAAACTTAAGATATAATGGGTGGTATAGTCATGTTAACTTTGAGGGAGTAATCCCAAAAAAGGAGGCATGAGATCCCCCACTCAGTGGAGGTCCCTTTAACTGTAGTGTCGTTTACCGAGTAATCGAGAAGACATGCTACTTTCGACCTGGGAGCCTTCTGAAACTGAGGACCGTAAAACCCTTAACCCATCTTGGCCTTTTAGGTGTAGTGCGGAAGCTATGACGGAGTAATCCGAAAATGCTTGTCACGCGATACTACGCTCGAACGAGTTTTTCTTGAGAATATTGCTAATTACTGAGTTAATCGGGACATTGGTAATATCCAAAGGAAGGATGTAGACTCTGGGAACCTCTTAGAACCTTGTTCAACAGTTGATAAATTTTTAGATCATACCTTATGGGTAGTACCTTCGACCTCATGCTCATGACGTTGAACCTATGAACCCTATGTTTGTGATCTTGTGTGTGATTGTTGCATCATGCATTCATGCACCCATGAGCATCTTCTAAAATCACTTTGTTTCAAGGGACTTAAAAGTTAACTCTTTGTGGATATCTCAGGTACTTTTTGACTATGGATTCTGGAACAAGAAAGACTAAGAAGTACAGTTTCAAAGATCCCAAGATAGATGAGTTGATGAATCTGATTCCCGAGATCGAGAGTTCTACAGATTTTCAGAGGAAGTATGGGTCCATCATTTCTCTTATGAAGCTCAAGATAAAGTAGGATATTCTCTCGACTTTGGTCCAGTTCTATGACCCGATGTATCGATGCTTTACTTTCCCTGATTATCAGTTGATGCCTACATTAGAGGAGTACTCTTATCTGCTGAGTTTACCTATTACCGATCATGTTCCTTTTACTGGTGTGAAGCTTAGCATTGTTCTATTAAAAAACACAAAACAAACCAAAACATGTGAGTCGAACTACGGTGCTCTTACTTTCCCATTGCACGAGGGATTACATAGAAACTAGGTTGCGGGGCCTAGGCGAGCGAAACTTTGTAAATATTCATTTTTTCCCCAAATTTTATTTAGCATGCATTCCCTTTTGGAAGTAAGCTTTAGACATAGATTTCTACACACCCTTAGATGATAACAAACAAAAGTGGATCATATGGAGTACAACAAACGTGTGGGGTGCTAATACCTTCCACTCACGTAACTGACTTCCTTACTCTTTCTCTTGGTCGCAAGACCATCTTATCCGTTTCTATGGGGTTCTCTGGATATCTTCCTTTTCTTCGGGATAAATAGAGTTCGGTGGTGACTCTGTGTTTTTTTGCGACGCGACACTCTTTACCTTCAACCTCCAACCTATGCATACACACTAACATTCCATTGTAACGATCTTTTGTTGGGGTTCCATCTAGACGGGGTTTGATAACGTCCAATTAGGTTCTTGTGTAGCCGAGAATATTGGGTTGAGATTTGTAGGGGTTTTCATTCGGAAAAAAACAGCGGGTTTGTTCTCCAAGATCATTGATTAATTTGGGGGTTTTCGTGCAAGATACTCAAGAGAGGATTGCGGCCTAGTAAAAGCCTTTGGAGTTAAAGAACACAAATGATCCTTTAGAGATAAAGAATGCAAAGGAAGTAGCGCGAGAACGACGAGTCGAATTGAAGTCTTGTGTTACAATAGTTGAAATTAGTGGTGTGCAAAAGCTTTAGAGATAAAGTACGCAAAGGAGTAGCAAGATCTAGATAACTAATTTTTAGATCATACCTTATGGGTAGTACCTTCGACCTCATGCTCGTGACGTTGAACCTATGAACCCTATGTTTGTTATCTTGTGTGTGATTGTTGCATCATGCATTCATGCACCCATGAGCATCTTCTAAAAACACTTTGTTTCAAGGGACTTAAAAATTGACTCTTTGTGGATAACTCAGGTACTTTTTGACTATGGATTTTGGAAAAAGAAAGACTAAGAAGTACAGTTTTAAAGATCCCAAGATAGATGAGTTGATGAGTCTGATTCCCGAGATCGAGAGTTCTACAGATTTTCAGAGGAAGTATGGGTCTATCATTTCTCTTATGAAGCTCATGATGAAGGAGGATATTCTCTCGACTTTGGTCCAGTTATATGACCCGATGTATCGATGCTTTACTTTCCCTGATTATAAGTTGATGCCTACATTAGAGGAGTACTCTTATCTGCTGAGTTTACCTATTATCGACCGTGTTCCTTTTACTGGTTTAGAGGGGGAGCCAAAATCTCATGAGATTGTTGCTTTGATCCATTTGGGGAAGTATGAGGTCGAGGCCCACATGACTACCAAAGGAGGGATTAGAGGATTACCTGCTCAGTTCTTATTGGAGAAAGCTCGCTATTTTGCTAGGATGAAGAGTATGGTTTCTTTTGAGGCCATCTTTGCTCTACTTGCTTATGGGTTGTTCTTATTTCCCAATATCGACAAATTTGTGGATATCAATGCCATCGGGATCTTTATGATTGGGAATTAAGTCCCTACATTATTGGGTGATTCTTATTACTCTATTCATCTTCGGGATTCTTATCATGGATGGATGATCATTTGCTGCACGTCTTTGTTGTATTAATGGTTTATTTCTCACTTACCTATGTCTGATGCTTCCTGGGATGTCAGAAAGGAACCTCGTTGGGCTCCAAATATTATGGCCCTCACTCATTCAGATATTGTTTGGTATCATCAGGCTTACCATGATGTAGAGATTGTCGACGGTTGTGGTAGTTTCCCCAATACACCTCTTCTTGGTACAAAAGGAGGAATTAACTACAACCCTATTCTTGCACGACGACAACTTGGATATTCGATGAGGGATAAGTCAAATAGTACTCATTTGAGTTATTTCTTCCTTAAAGAGGGAAAAGTTTATAAGGAAGCTAAAGAGGATATTGCGAAGGCTTTGCGTCATATTGACAGGAAGGGTAGGAAAGACTTGGGACCTAGAGAGGTTGTTTCTTTGGAGCCTTATCTTTAGTGGGTACAAGCAAGATCCATCCATTGAAGATGTCGTATTCCTGAGAAGCACCCATGCCTGATATATTTGAGAAGACCACTCCTCCCCTATCGAATGATGTGGAAGAGCTTCAGCTTTCCCTAGTCTGGATGCAACATGAAAAGGAAGCTTGAAAGAATAAGTGCCAGACTTTAGAAATATCTTATCGAGCAGACCTGAAGGAGAAAGATGACCTGATCGAGATTCTTGAGAGTCGTGTCGTAGAGGTGATGGAGAGGAAGGAGAATTTATTTTCCTCTAGACCTCAGTCAGGCCCTAGTTTCTCACTTCCCGGCTCTGGTGGTTGGAAAGAGGTTTTCGACAGGTATACAGAAGAGAACAAGCGGTTGAAGGCTCAAATTGCAGGACTCACGGGGAAGCGTCAGCGTGTAGAGTGATCTTCATCAGCTTTGTTTTCTTAGGATATTAGATTTCTTATCTTATCTTGCACTTGGGATTATTGAAACTTGTACTAAAAAAGTTGTAATCCGTTTTGAAATTATTATAATGAGATTTGAACGTACATGTTCTAAGATTTTTGTCGAAGACTTCCATGAAACCGACTCTGAAGAAGTTTTTGACTAAGAGCACATTGCTTTCTTAACCTTCTGGCTATCTCGCTATGTCTTTGGTTCGAGCTATTTGCAGGTAGCCAAGAAATTTATAACTTTGGCCACCCAAGTTCACGAAGGGCAAAAAATTAAGCTCATAAAGATAATTTTGGGCTCTCTATAAAGCTCTTGGGCTTTAAGCTTCTAATTTTAAGTCCATCACCGACCTAGAATACAAGTTCCTAATCCCTGGCCCTAAGTGGCTTTCTCAACTATGGCTTAATGCCACATTTGAATCTTTTTTGAAATTCAACACCCCTTCTGCCTTAGTGCAACATGTTGAAGGAAGAAGGGTTGAAGTCACTAGACTTGTCTTGTTGACACCGGAGGATGTTGGTCTGTCGACCACAAATGCATTTAAAAGTATGTCATCATGTCTGCAAACGTGATGTTTTTTAACCATCCATGACTCTCTTTGTCAGTCGAAGTCACGGTACGCCTAATTTAATAGAGAGTTTTCCCCTCTTTCGCCTGAACGGGACAAAATGAAGTAGAGCGAAATAAAACAGAACCAAATAAAATAAAGAAGTTATTCCATTGCTAGGATAATTCATGACGGAATAAAGAGATTTTATCATTACCTAAATCGAAAAGTATAAAAATGATGGAATATGATGAAATACATTCCATGTGATTCCCTCTATTTTATAAGTGATCTATCAATCAAGATAAATATCTTTTTTTTAAGGATAAAATACACTTTTGAAAGTTGGAAAAACTCATGGAGAGCATAAGAGGGGGACTTAAATGGAACATTGGGGTGAAGCTTCTGGAACACTTAATAGTATTATAAGTTGAAACGAGGTTAGGGTATCTAGACATTATGAGTTGAAATTTCTTAACCTTAGTTTCTTCAATGATGGGTACAGTATCGTGCTTCTTCGTGTTTTTGCCACACGACAAATCCTGGAAAACTCCAATGTTGAAAATGAAAACCCTAAATCCAATCCCAAATTTCAATTTTTGTCTCTCTTTGAAATGCCACTATTCAACTTCACAACAAAACCAATTCACAATTTCATATCTCGTTACCAATTTGGGCTTCTCATTAGAAACCGCTACAAGAGCTTCCAAAAGCGTTCGTTTCAAGACTTCCGAAAAGCCTGATACAGTAATCGCCACCTTCAGAAACTTCGGTTTCTCCGATTCTCAGATAAGCTACGTCGTTAGTAAAGCGCCCGACATTCTTACATGTAACCCCTACAAAAGGATTTTGCCAAAGTTTGAATTTTTATTCTCAAAAGGTGCTTCAAATTCTGATGTAGTGGAGATTGTGGTCAGAAGCCCTAGAATTCTATATGCAAGTCTTGACAATCGCATAATCCCTACTTTTGAATGGGTAAGAAGGTTCTTTTCATCTGATGATGAAGTTATTCAATACCTACTTAAATATAGATGTTTCTATGGTTATGATAGTGTTGCTAATAATGTCAAGTTGTTGCTTGATCATGGAGTCACTGAGTCAAATATAAGACATTTGTTACTTAGAAGTCCCTCTATATTATCTTGTTATGACCTAAGGAAGCCTATGAATAGGGTTAAGGAAATGGGATCTAATGATCCTTCCAATGTAAATGTTTCTAAAGCATTGTTAGGCATAAGGTCCATGACGAAATCCCAAGTTTTTGTCTATAAGAAATGGGGTTGGTCTGATGAAATGGTTCTTGAAGCATTTAGGAAGCGACCCGTGTCTATGCTATCATCCGAAGATAAAATTAACAAGGTCATGAGTTTTTGGGTGAATGAGTTGGGTTGGAACTCTTCGGCTCTTGTCAAAAGGGTCGAAATTTTTTCGTATAGTTTGGAAAATAGGATCATTCCCAGGGGTTGTGTTATTTCATATCTCATCTCCAAAGGTTTGATAGAAAAGAATGTTGAATTGTCTACCCCATTTGCTGTTAGTGAAAAGATGTTTCTTGAAATGTATGTGCAACGTTTTAAAGAGGAAAGACATAATTTGTTAAAGCTATACCAGGAGAAAATGGATGGTGGTAAGAAAATCAAAGAAAATGCTGAAGTGTCTGTAAGCTATTGAATGGTTAACTTGCAAGTGCAAATTTTCTGTAATGCAAATGGATGTATTCTTTCAATTCCTGTTATGTTACAATTGTGATCTTGTGTTCTATATCAACTATTTGATTCTTTATAAATGATTGAAGCACTGGTACATATTCTTGTCCATGCTGTTGTTGCCTCCTTTGCTAGAAATATTCAATCCTCCATGTTTGTATTGAGTATGCGCTGAGTTGGAACTTTAGTTCTTAAATGGTTCATTAAAGCCAAACTCTATTTTGACACTCTTAAATGCTTGCTATTTGGGATACAAATTCATGCCTCTTTTTATACAATCTGATTTTGATACATCTGGTACATCGGGACTTGTCAAGTTCCTTTTTTATGCAAATTTGGCATTATTACTTTTGAGTGCCTTCATTATGGTGAGCTGGCTGCTAGAGCTCAATTTATTTGACTTTGTTGGCACTCTCCCCTCTCATGATAGTCCAAGTGTTAAGCATGTTTATCGTACTTATCATGTCAACCCCATTTTTGAGGTACCTTGCAATGGTTATGGATGTTTTTGCTATAATTTGTATGATTGCTGGGAGAGATATGAGCCTTGATGTCTTTGGTCTAAGTTCCAATTGGACCCTCATGTGCAACGAAGATCTCTACATATTTTATCTGCATCGACACCCTGCTGCCATTGCTCAACAGGAACTTTTTCTGCCAGGTGCAGCTCATGTCTCCCAACAATTCTCTTCTACATATCACCATGTGGAGATCATTGTTAATGCTAAGTAGCATTACTTACACCTAGTCCATGGTTGAGCTTCATTGATAAGAGTGGACATGATGTAATTCTTGACTTCCAAAGAGAGTCGGTCTCCATTGCAACATTGCAAGGGTATTCTCCATGCTTTTTCCTCTTTGGTACTCTCTTGTAGAGTAATGACTTAAGTCTTGGACTTAGTCTTCTCCTATCTTACTTCAAATTCCAATTTCTGTTGTAATTCCCTACTCTTTTTTTAATCAAATTTGGATAGTATTCATCCTTTATTTCACTATTGCTACCGTTTGAGTTGGACATGAACCCCTAAGCCATTACACAAGGATTAATAGCTTACTTCATGGTTCAGTTTAGCAGTTCCTTCACCCTGTTTGATGAAAGAAAATATGGGTTGCTTGCTGCAATAATTTTCATTAGACTTTGGAGGTGAAACAGACTCATTTTTTCAGATTACTCAATTAAGTTTCGTTAAGTGCTTTTAATTGAAGATGATTTGAAAAAAATGATAATTGATATGTTTCCTTTGATATATGGAAAATTAGATTAAATATTATTGAAGTACTTCTACTTAGTTATTTGATCTGTGGAACTTGTATTTTTTCTGTTTTTTCTACTATTCTAAGTTCCAACTATTAGTATAGCTCATGTTTGATATCATGGTGGATTGAACAAAATCACCGTTGTACCTTGATTTTGTTGAAGCACTTCTTCACACGCGGTGGTTCTATGCGATCTTACCAACATCTTACCAATGTGACCCCTAGAAGGGTGTTCATATTTACTCATACCAACATCTTACCAATTATCAATGTGTTACTGAAGTGTATTGCACTATAAAAAAAATTGAACTATTTGAATGGTTAATAAATTGAATTATTTAATTTAAACAATTCAAATTCAATTTAAAATCAACTCAAAACCTGTTTCCCTTTATAACTGGTTTGATTATATAAATTAGTTTTTTTATAAAAAGAATAAAAAACCAATTAAAACTAAAAAATTCTAAAAATTTAAAATTATAATTTGTTTTTAAAAAAAATTTGAAAATGTTTTTTCTCGAAAAAAGAAAAAAAAAATATTTAAATATTTTTTCTCGAAAATATTTTTTTTTAAATTTGTTTTTTCGAGTTGCTACTGCTATTTTCCAATAACTTTTTCTTGCCATGATTCTCTTCTGTGATCATGACCAGAAGCGTGTTATCATCATTCACCTCCTGTCGAGCAACCTTAGCCTCATCGTGTTGATTTTCCCTTGATTTCGTATTACATTCTTTTGCGAAATGATCAAATCTATGACAATTGTAACACCTCACGTTACTCTTGTCAAACTTCTTGGTATAGTTGCCTTGACAACTACCTTTAGAGCTGCTCTCACCTATTTGCACCATCAAAATCTTTGAATTTTGTGGATCTTTTCCACCAAAATTCTGGAAATTTGTCTTCTCATTCAAAGACCATTTTTCTTTCAATCTTTTACTTTTCTCATTGAATCGTGTTTGCAATACAATTTTCGCTTTAGCTTTATCATTCCCTTTTCATCCAAGTATCATTCATCACTGCCTTGGACTCCATCTTTAACAGTTACCATTACGTTATACTCTGAACGTGTTTCTGCAACATTTTTCGAGCTGCTGACACTGTTGTCCAGCCACTGACAGCTGCTATTGCTGCTTTCCAATAGATTTTTTTTGCAATAATTCTCCTCTATGATCATGACCAGAAGCGTGTTATCATCATCCACCTCCTATCGAGTAACCTTAGCCTCATCGCTTTGATTTTCCCTTGATTTATGGCAATTGTAACACTTCACTTTACTCTTGTCAAACTTCTTGGTATAATTGTCTTGACTACTACCTTTGGAGCTGCTCTCACCTCTTTGCACCATCAAAATCTTTGAATTTTGTGGATCTTTTCCCCCAAATATTTGGAAATTTGTCTTCCCCTTCAAAGACCATTTTCCTTTCAATTTTTTACTCTTCTCGTTGAACCATGCTTGCAACACAATCTCCACTTTGGATTTATCATTTCCTCTTTCATTCATCTTTTGTTCATGAGCCTCAAGCGAGTTTTGAAGCTCCTCCTTGCTCAATGTCAGAAGGTCCTTTGATTCTTCGATTGCAATCACAATATTGTCGAATCTTGACGTTAAAGAACGTAAGATCTCCCATCTTTGCTTCGTCGAGTCGTAATCGTCAACTTTTTCAAAGTTGTCAATGTCGACACAAGAATGTATAAAGAAGAGTGTTTTGTAATCTTTCTTTTTCTCTCCTTGAATGCAACCTTCTGAGCCTCTGTAGTTGCTGCCACAAGTCGTGTAACACCATCGTTAACCACTTCAAGAACATCTTGATACCCAAACAAAACTTTCATTTGTTTGCACTATTTGTCATAGTTCTTTGAATTAAGGGTTGGAAAATTGGTAGGCAATCGATCATAGAAAACTGTAGTCATCTTTGCAGCAGATTAATGGATTAGAACCAAGACTTTTGATGTCAAATGTTGGAATAAGCACAAAGCTTAAGTGGTGAATCAATAGTGAAATATGGTTAATTGGAGAAGATGAAGTGAAAGTGAATTTGAAGATATTAAGAGAGAGAGAGAGAGAGAGAGAGAGAGAGAGAGAGAGAGAGAGAGAGAGAGAGAGAGAGAGAGAGAGAGAGAGAGAGAGAGAGAGAGAGAGAATGTTATAATGACATTAGTTTCAAACAATGTTACATGATAGAGTACTTATAGGATACACACAATATAACTTGGAATCCGAAGCAGGCCTAAAAGGCCTAAAACAGCTCAAAAAACACAACACAGGGAATAAATCGATTTCCCAAAAGGTAGTTTTTGATTTTCTCATCTAAAACTGAAACTATAAAATTAATAGTACATGTGGAAATCAATTTCCTTTTTGAAACTTTGTTTTTTAAGATTCTCAAAAGTGCTTTTCAAATAAATGATTTTCAACGAAACGATCCCAGAAACTTCCACAATACATTTAAATTATTAAAGACTTCCAATAAAGTCTAACTAATAAGCTTTATTAGATTTATTAAATGTGTGTGTGAGAGACAAAAAAAAAAATTTCCAAATAAACAATTCTGAATTTATAATATAAAATTAATTTATAATTATAAACTGATTTTGAATTGATTTATAAGTAAAAAATTGATTTTAAACCAGTTATAAATACAAACTAGTTTTAAATTGAACTAAAACTATTTTAATGATTAATTAATTTTTTATTTAAGTGGTTTTTTTGAATATTAATGTGGTTCAGTCCAATGCAATTCATAAACTATAAAGACCCATAAATCCCCTAAATGCACCAATTGATTTTTTATAAGAGTGATTTTCACAATATGATCACATTGTGATCGTACCAACGTCTTACCAAACTCAGTGTGATACCACCAAACAAGCATATAAATTGCATGACAGGCTCTCCTGACAAAGGCCCTTTCTTTAGATTGGTAAGTAATTCTTTCAAGTAATTTTTCTTTGGTTATGTACACTTTGTTTTAAGGGAACCACAGGAAAAGAATCCGCACCAATTGAATTCCAAACTAGTATAATCATTCTAACCAATCATTTCTTTATTTTCTTCTATTCTGAATTTCATCGGTCAAAAAAATGCATACAAGTGTGTTGTAGCTAAGTGGCTTAAACATGCTCTATTATCACTTCAATGGGTATGTTGTCCGTTACGGTCTGATTGGGAGTTAATTTTTGGAAGGTTTTAGAGGAGAAAGGTTTTGGAGAGTTGCATTTATATCTTGAAATGTGTCTAATATTTTTAAAAATTTTAAAAAATAATATGCTACACTATCACATAAAATCATATAATTTTTTAAACTTTTTTAAAATATCAAACACTTTTTAAGATATAGACGCAACCCTTCAAAGCCTTCTCCTATACTTATATAAACTTATAAAATCATATAATTCTTCACAGATTTTTCAGCGTGGCCAATTTTGTGAGAGAAAAGTTCATCTACTCTTGTTTTAATGATGTCAAAACATTCTTCGTATCTTACATTTGTACTCCTAATATTGGTTGGATCTTTGGTGAATTTGACCGTAGAAATGGACGACATGAAACTCCTTGAATTAAAGCAATTTTGGCCACTTCAACTGTTTGTGTCGACTCACATAGTTGGATGAGTCGACTCATGAACTGATCAAGGACTTTGCACTCGACTCAGGACTGCTCACGTCGACTCTTCTGGTCGACTCGTACTGGGAGTGAAATTTCTTCAGGTTGCATCGACGCATGCCCTAGTGTGGTCGATACATCTCCTATTTTTAAATCATCTCATCAAGCTCGAGTTCGCTCAGGTCGACCCCCCAACCTGTATAAGTCGATGCATCGCTAAAATTCTCTGATTTTCCGCTACGTTTTGGGCTTACTGTGTTAGAACAATGTTTGAATCTAGTACCCTATATTTAAGTTTTGATGATAACAAAGTGAAAAGATATAGTATTTATATGTTTCATGTTTGAACTATATGCTGCCTAAAATTACTATGCTCTGACTTGCAGATATGCTGATTAAAATAAGCAAGATCACTTCTTCAGCATCAGAATTTGATTTCATACACCAGCATCAGAAGTTGCTGAATCAGAACGTCAAGATCAGATGATCAACTCACGTACATGCTGAAGCTTGATGAACAGAACTGCGCGTAAACACTCTGATACAAAAACAATAGTTCATCAGCAGTGAAGCAGAATCAGAATGAGCCAAGCCAGAACGTGCATTGAAGAAGCAACGGTATTGTGCATTGAACGCTAATTAATTCCAACGGCATCATTCTAGACAAGATCTGCTCAAAAAGGAAAGCTTGTTATTAGCATTGAATCAAGAATATTGCATTCAACGTTCATCTTCTCAAGTGCTATATAAACAAGGCTTCGAAGATTATAATGGCTAATGCTCTCCAAATCTCTACACGCACAAAGCTGAACAATAATCTTCATCTACCAGTTTTGCTAAACCACAAACTCTGATACTCCATTAGTGTTT